TATATATATATATATATATATATATATATAAAGACAATAGCACACATTCTTAGCTAATGGTTAAACCTGGGTTTCTTAACTATAGCATGATTGACTTTGAAGTCAAATAACTCTTTGTGTGGGGTGCTTCACTGTGCATCATAAGATGTTTGGCAACATCCCTAGCTTCTGCCTACTTGATGTTGGTGGCACACCTCCCACTTCGAGTTGCGACAAGAAAAATGTGTCCACACATTGTCAAAGGTCTCTTCAGAGACAAAATTGCTCCTGGATGAGAGCCAATGATCTACCTCTAATCTCTAATAAAAATTAACAAAAATGAAATCTTTGACAACATAATCAATAAATCAAATGTGGGGCAGAATGAGAACTCTTCCATATCTATGAAATCAGCAAGTCAACTGACCAAAAGCAAGCATATTTAGGGGTAGTTACCTGATGGCCGACTGTACTTCAACAGCAGGAAGAGTATGATTTTTTGAAGGGTCTGTAACCACAAACCAGAATGACACCCTTTGGGTTACATTGCAAAGTAGGACATGGGAAATTCTGCAGACAATGGAAAGAAAAAAAATACATCGTAAGAATATCATCCCAAATGGCATTACACTGTTTCTTCTGATGCAATTACCATTTTATGACTCACCTTAGTTACATTTGCAAAGTTATTTTCTACCATTTGAAGGAATGACTTAATAAGAAAAAATTATATAGGAAATTCTCATTGCTTTAAAATCATATACTCAGGAATCATTTCTTAAGAAGGAATCTGCCACAAAAATTAAAAAGGAATTAGGCAGTGGAGAACATTAAGGATATTGTTCTCTATCATCTAGCAGCTGAAAGCTTCTCTTCTTCCTCAATACTGGGTCCCTCTCTAAACCACAGAAGCCTCTGGCATGTCCTCATCAAGTTTATTAGCCCCCTGTCCATTCTATCTTCCTCCTCTCAGATTCAATCAGAATCAATTTTTTATTCTTGATTCACTACTTGCACTGTCTGCCTCAGCTTCTGTCCATACCCCTCCCCCACCACCACCAGAGCATTGGGACCCAAGAGGTGCCTTCCTCATGTACTTTTGAGGAAACAGTTCTCATGAACAGTTGCTTTTGTATTGCCTTGAACAGACCTCCAAACTTAAGTGTTATAATCAATGCACCAGCAGCCTTTGAATACGTGATTTGTAGTTACATGCTTTTCAACTACAAAATGGCAATGTGACTCACTCTATTCTATACACATGAATTACCCATAATTGAAAAGAGAGAAATGACATTGGTGTTTAGAGAAAAGACTATCTATATGAGGATGCATGAACCTCAAAACTATAAGAGAGTCCATATAAAATCAACAGTGCTAAATCATAAATTCTGGATGGCTTTCACTATTTTCTTAAGAGCAAAGTAAGAAAAAATGGCATTCATATAGTCTGCATACAAATCAAACACAAAGAAATCACATTAACTGGAAAAAAATAGTTATTTGTTATTCTTTTAAAAGAGAATTTCATTTTATTATAGTCATTTTTACACTGTTGAAAGAGAGT